CTTTAATAACGGAAATGAAATTGTAAACATGCATAAAGATCTTCAAAATTCGTTTAAAATAGACTATTTTTTAGCAGCCAATCAATGACCAAAGCTAACAGGCTCCGCCCACTTCATTTGCATACCGTTTCCCAAAGCGTACCGTTCACAAAACGAACCGTTCCGTGCAAGAAACGAAACGTACCGACCACAAAGCGTACCGTTCCGTGCATAAAGCGAACCGTACCGTGCACAAAGCGTACCGTTCCGTGCACAAAGCGAACCGTTCCGTGAACAAAGCGTACCTTACCGTGAACAAAGCGAACCGTTCCGAGAACAAAGCGTACCGAACCGTACCGTGCAAGTGGTGTAGTAGCACGGTTTAGGGTCTGTATGTCGGAGGACTTTTTCGACAAAGTTACGCACTGATAACATTTTATCGAAGGACTAGTTTGGATATGCACATAACATTCTGAAGAAATGATCAATCCTCTTTGACTGAGAAGGGTTTAATTTTATTTGTGAGAGAATAAATATATCTTTTCTAAATATAAGAATTTGACGACACTTTATTGCAATGCATTTACACTGCAAATTTTAATTTTTCTTAATTTTGTGTTTTGAAATAACAGTTGGATGGATTTTATTTAATTCAAATTAAATTAATTAAAATCTGGATGGAATTTAATTAAATCAAATTTTCTTAATATACAATTGTTCTCTCTCATATGATTCTGAATTAAATTCAAATCAAATTAATTAAAATCTGGATGCATTTTAATTAAATCAAATTTTCTTAATATGTTCTCTTTCATATGATTCTGAATTAACAATCCAGTAATTATGACAAAAGACATGTTGACAGAGTTACGTATTGATTTTTTTCTTTTTGAAATCAAATGTCCAGTTAGCGTTTGCGAAAAATATACTGCATGCGCACTCTTCTGCAAAACAATGCTACCCATTGTAGTGCCTGGCAAATTATCCAATCAAAATAAACTTAGTTGTTTTTTTGTTTTTTTGTAATTGAATTAAAAATCTGATTCTTTAAATTAGTGTTTTGAAAAGAAAAGTTTTATGGAAAAAACAGACCGGATGAAATATTTAATTTATTTTTTAATCGATATATGACTGCATGTATTCTTTCATACAAATTTCAATTAACAGTCTACAGCACTTAATTATGTCTGGGGACTCTTTGACAAAGTTGTACGTATTGATAATTTTTTATCGAACGACTAGTTTGGACAAGCAAAAAATATTCTGAAGAAATCAACACTCCTCTTTGACTGGTGAGTAATTTTATTTTCACCCGCAAGCATATTAATGCTTCGTATCTTCATAATCTACCTATACCTATATTGCACTGCACTACAATGTAATGGCAATCAAACATTCAGAAGTCCAATTTTGTTTTACATGATTTTTTTTTTAATTGAAGATAAAATTGAAACAAAATGTCTTTAATCTTTATTTTTCTATTTTAAAAAGTTAGGGACAGACTGGATGATCTTAAATTAACAAAAAATCAGCTAGTGCAGTGCTGCAATGCATCCCATTGTAATTGCTTGACGTATACTGTCTACTTAAAACATATTTGGTCTATCTTTATTAAGTTAAACATTGAAATAAATTGGAATTTTCCTGTCTGACTGACGAATGAACATCTTGAGACTCGATCAAACAAAGCGCCCATTGTAGAACAATCAAGAGAGCTTTCACTACTACATGCCTAGCCATCTAGCAGTACTTGTTTTGTGAGAGAAACTCACATTACGTATACACACAAGACCAAACTTAACATGAGTGAGTGACTCTCTTGTCTTATATAGTATACAAGCTTGTTATCCGTTAATATTGCCTGAACATTTGCATAATCGTTTTGTCTACGTTGTTCAAAGGGCCATAATTTGATTATCGAACTTTGTAAGAAACTGACAGTATGCAAATTTTGCAACAAACTTTCAGCCGCAAGAGGAAATTGTATATAAAGGGTGACTTTGGAGGGTGGATGGTGGGGAATGTAATTGTGCTTGTTAAAATACAAGTATAACCTACTGCACCATAATGCACTCTGCTGCAATACACTGCAACATATTGTAGTTGCCTAGCAAATCATCCAGTCAAAATAAACCTAGTCAGTTTGTTGTAACTGAATGAAAAATATGATGAAACACATTTTTCTCTTTAGTGTTTTTAAAAAAAAAGTTAAAATAAAGAAACAGACTGAACGAACTATTTTATTCACATTCTACTAATATATGACTGTTCTCTTTCATATAAATCTCAATTAACAATCCAGTAATTATATCGAAAGAATTATGTCGGAGGACTTTTTCGACAAAGTTACGCACTGATAACATTTTATCGAAGGACTAGTTTGGATATGCACATAACAATCTGAAGAAATGATCAATCCTCTTTGACTGAGAAGGGTTTAATTTTATTTGTGAGAGAATAAATATATCTTTTCTAAATATAAGAATTTGACGACACTTTATTGCAATGCATTTACACTGCAAATTTTAATTTTTCTTAATTTTGTGTTTTGAAATAACAGTTGGATGGATTTTATTTAATTCAAATTAAATTAATTAAAATCTGGATGGAATTTAATTAAATCAAATTCTTATAGGACAATTGTTCTCTTTCATATGATTCTGAATTGAATTCAAATCAAATTAATTAAAATCTGGATGCATTTTAATTAAATCAAATTTTCTTAATATACAATTGTTCTCTTTCATATGATTCTGAATTAACAATCCAGTAATTATGACAAAAGACATGTTGACAGAGTTACGTATTGATTTTTTTCTTTTTGAAATCAAATGTCCAGTTAGCGTTTGCGAAAAATATACTGCATGCGCACTCTTCTGCAAAACAATGCTACCCATTGTAGTGCCTGGCAAATTATCCAATCAAAATAAACTTAGTTGTTTTTTTGTTTTTTTGTAATTGAATTAAAAATCTGATTCTTTAAAATTAGTGTTTTGAAAGAAAAGTTTTATGGAAAAAATAGACCGGATGAAATATTTAATTTATTTTTTAATTGATATATGACTGCATGTATTCTTTCATACAAATTTCAATTAACAGTCTACAGCACTTAATTATGTCTGGGAACTCTTTCACTACGTGACAAAGTTGTACGTATTGATAATTTTTTATCGAACGACTAGTTTGGACAAGCAAAAAATATTCTGAAGAAATCAACACTCCTTTTTGACTGGTGAGTAATTTTATTTTCACCCGCAAGCATATTAATGCTTCGTATCTTCATAATCTACCTATACCTATATTGCACTGCACTACAATGTAATGGCAATCAAACATTCAGAAGTCCAGTTTTGTTTTGTACACGGTTGGGATAAATTCATACGTCACTCCATACCTCAAAAAAAAAAATTGATAAAAATAAAAATTGAACAGCCCCACAACGTTTACATATTTCATAGTAGAATTTATCGATTATAATGTTTGATTCTCCATCATTTCGAGCAAGAGTGGTCTAAATATACCTTCCACATGTAAAACCCTGAAAAACTAAAATTTCAATTGAACTATAATTCATCTTTTTTGAGAGCAATGGACGATCCCTTTAAGCAAGATCGGTCCTCTGTCATACAAGAACACAATTGGCCACACTAAATAGTCCACATCTGGGGCTGGGGCATTCCGAGAAATCATTATATCGGAAGAAAATGGTGAACCTGGCCTCACTTTGAAAGTTACTGATAATGGTCTGTCCTGTATGGCAGAAATCCACGCGCACTTCAGACAAAGTTTGATGAAAGGATGCACTTTGACCGCCTTTAAATGGGCCTTCAGATGTGGTTTTTCCGTTAAGAAAAACAACTGAAAAAAATATATGTACTCGTAGTTACAAGTTACATAGATATGAGGCACCGTTTTGGTATTTACTGCCAAAAAGTGATATAGTATTCGAATAGGTGATATCACTTACTAGTATTCAAATTGGTGAGATCACTAATTCATTTCCAATAGGTGATATCATCTATTTGAATTAGTGATATTACCTATTGGAAATGAATAGGTGATATATCACCCATTCGTGCCAAATAGGTGATATCACCAATTCGAATAAGTGATATCACCCATTCGAATAGGTGAAATCACCTATTTGAATTTCTTGAAATAAATAATGAATGCTCCCTAGACTGTATACTTTACCACCAAGAAACTATTCGAATAAATGATATCATCTATTTGAAAAGAAAAGGTGATATCAGCTAATTAGTGATATCACCTTTTCTAATAGGTGATATCACCGATTCAAATCAAAAACTGTAGATGATATTACTTATTCAAAATCTGTATAGGTGACATCATTGATTCAAATAGGTGATATTATAGTTTGCAATTAAGTGTGAAGTTTTACGTTATGTCACGATCTAGTTGACATCTGCGCTAAAGGTAAATTGTACACGCCTCCTAACCGCAAGCTTTACGACTGGAACTTTCTCATCCCTGATTGGTTGCTCGTGCAACAAACTATTTCAGTGTCAATGTTGATTTTGGTTTGAACACATTTCATTATGTAGCAATTACATAAACGGATTGGGCAGCAGGCATAGCCTATATAAGCCCTCTCCACAGGTACAAGGTTAATTAATACACATATAGTAACAGGTTCATATGTCACTAATAAGTTATATTTAACTAACACAAATTTAAATAGAATTTAGGAGAAAGTACAAAAAAGTACATAAGAAAAAAGAAAAAAATACGTTGTCGTTGTTGATAGTATATGTTGACCAATCATGTTTACGCTGGAAGCATCTGACGGGAAAGATCGTGACGTAACACCAAACTTCACACTTAACTGAAATTAATAATGCCACTTTTTGACAGTAAATGCGAAAACGGTGCATGCCTCATACAAAGATGCAGAGCTAACAAAAGGAACGCAATCTTTATATTCTCTCAAAGGGTTTTAGAGATTAGAGATGGCTTTGGTTTATGTGAAAGGGATCGAATTTCTTATACTAGTATATAGGATCCAGTACAAGATTAAAATGTTTGGATGATTATGTTGAAAATTGGTTGTCCATAAATTGTTTTTTTGACCAGTAAGGAACAGTTCTGCACAACCAAGGTGAAAAAAAGTGCTCCTTAAATAATAGGAAAACGTATAATATTGTAGTGAGTCTAACCGCTTAACTTGTGTTTATTTTTTGTTCATAGACCTATCATAACTCATAAGTAATTGTACGCTCTTTAAATAAAAATAACCCAGACTTTGTACTTTGAATACCTGTTCAATTACTGGAACTATTAGGGTTTACTGATCTCCTGAGTCTAGAGAGTTCTAACGAACTTGTTGGTCAGTTTGTTCCGTAGACTGGGGTATACGAATCTGTGAAAATCATTATAATTATATCAGTGTTCAACATATTCAACATTTCTATAAAATTCTATACAAACGATGTCCGCAAAATATCGAGCAAGAATATGTATACACTATACACTTATGTTTATAACATTTTTAAAAAGTCTGCCTTATTTGAAACTTCTCTGAGGAATTCCAGTTAGTTTCCCAGAAAATGAAACATCAAATGGACATTTCTATTACTTTTTTCGATGTCATCAGGTACCAAATAAATAAACAATAAAACAAAACTAATGTTGACTAAAACTGAATGATAACCTTTTTCAGTAGATGTTGGTTTAAGTAGGAACAAACAAGGTGTCGGTTAGATCTCTAAGATGTTCGCTAGACAGGTTTTCACAGAATTCAAAACAATCCTGTAAACAAGAATTCCGGTGCAGTATTTTAGATTTAAATGTCTAGAGTTTGAATACCGCGTTACTTGTAAATGCAATAGTTTAAGTATGCACTTCCCCGACCTTTCCATTATTTCTGTACAAAATTAGAGCTTTTTACCATGATTTTACATAATGTTTGAAATGACATTCAGCTGAAGCTGAGCTGAAAACTCAAGCGAACTTTACTGATAACATGTTGTCTGTTGTCCATCTGTAAAATGTTAACATTTTAAACTTTATTCAGTATCAATGGGCAATTTTCAACCAAACCATTCACAAAGGTATTCAGGTTACTCTACGCGCTTTCATAGTGTAAATTTGGGGGAATCTTTTCAAAATTATCTCAAGAACAATTAAATGGGCAAAACAGTTGAAATTCATGTGGAACGTTTATTAAATAAAGTACAAATTCAAGTTAGTTCAATCACGACCTCTAGGAAGTTTATAGAAAAAAGTACTTTGAATCTTAATCTTGAAAAAATAATTAAAGCCCTGTTTCTATACATGTACAATTGTCGGCATCCTCACTCTCTGTAGTTGTAAAAGTTTTATTACATTTATGTACAGTGTAACCTGTCTAACCTGGACACCGAACTGTTCGCCAGTTGTTGGATAAGACAACATTCAGCCATACAAGACAATATTTTAAACAAATGAATTAACTGAAAAAAGACAAAGTTTACTTTGTATTAGGCAAGATTTTAGATTATACAGCATTCGGATTAAACAAGTTTCACTGTATTACAAGTATTTAACATGACAGAAAACAACCTGAAGAATTTTAAGCAGTTCCTCTGTGGCCTCTCTTTCTCTGAGTTTTTTCTTGTAAATGAAGAATTCAAAGGCAGGCTGCCACTCTGTGTTGTATATTTCTGATAATAATTCAGCTACATTTTCGGGTCTATCAGAAAACGAAGAAAAACAAATATGTTTCATTTAAACTGTTTAGATGTAAACATTTAAGGTGCATTACTATGTATTGATCAAAACATACAAAAACGTTCGTTTGTTTGCTGTTGAGCGTCCCACTCGAGAATTTTTTTAATCATATGAAGACACCGCTACCTAGTAATTTTATCCTATATTCGGCATTTAGGACCATTGAACAGCAAGTGATCTTTTTCGTGCCAGCACCTACTTCAACATGGGAAATCGGTTTATATGGTCTTATCCGAAGGAGCGGTCTCGACCTCCCACGGTGGGATTCGAACCCGCGATGTAAGGATCAACTCACATACATCATGTAAAAGTCAGCCAATATCACAAGGAAGTTTCATCAAGTTTTTGTTAAATTAGAACGAGGTCTTTAAGTTAAGGGAACCGACTGAAGTTTCTTAAATAAAAACAAAACATGTCCCATGAACTGAATTTCTATTCCTACCTAGCAGTAGTGATCTCTATTGGGTGAAGTACAGGTAGCCCTCTCGCCGTCCCCTCTTTTTCAAGGTCAAGGTTGGCCAACCTAAGTCTTTCTACTTCTGATTTTAATTCAGAAATAAGTTCCTCCCTGTTTATAAAGGTAAGACGTTTTCATGGATATTTATTGCATAATGAATGCGTGGCGTGGCTCGAAACAATTAATTGATAAAGAGATATTTTTTAGAGTTTATCGGTATATGCTGTGATAAAATTAAGTCTAACCTTGACTGATCCCCTTTATTTGTGTTCTGCAATATATGAAATACTTTTGGAATGTAGAATCTTTGAATATTTAAAAGCTATCACTATATGCAAGTATGTCAAAAATATTTTTTTTAAGTTAAACATTAAAACTTAAAGAAATCACGCTTTTACTATACCTAAAAAATACAAAATTGTACATTATTGTAGAAGCAAGCTAGATTAATACGGGTTACATTGGCCTTACTTGGGGCTTTTCCTCTTCTGTTTTATAGTCTATGTTTTCTTCTACCCACTGTAAAAATCACAAACATATGATTAAATATAAAACAAGAACTAAATACTATATAATGATTAGAGAAAATAAGATACTAAATTAAGGACAGATGGATATAAAAAAAATGGGGTGTCTGGTTTGGTGTATATTTTTAACCTATTTCGTTTATGAATAATTAAATTGGGATAGAACACAGATTAAAATGTGTCAAAATGAAGAAAACTGAATTACATTTATTTTTATATATTTGGGAGACTTGGAAAAAATCTTATGCCTAAAAATTGAAGGAATCAGTGGATGATGTGACTTTATTTGACCTTTGTCCACTTTACATGACCTTGACCTTTATTTTTCCAAAGGTGTTCTATGAATTTTAAATTCCTTATTTTCAAAGTTATAGACTGAAATAGTAAGGAAAAATCCCCCCAAAGAAATTGACTAAAAAATAAAACGCTATATGCTACTTAACAGCCATTTTTCAACCCAGTCAAAAAGAAATTCACAACTCCATAATTTCTTAAGAAGCAAAGAAAAAACTGAATTCCTTCATGATAAAGGTGGGGTCCACATTTTCTAATGGGGTGGTGGTGGTGGTGTCCCAATGCCAAAGTCATTTATTATTTGATAGAGTACATATCTTAATACTTCTGCTACCTAGGACCCCCACCCCCTTTCCATATCAAGACCTCTAGTTCTGCCAATCTCCACAAATAAATTTTATACAAAATGCCAACTGAAGCTATAGTTTTATTTTTCCTTTTAAAAACACGAGGATTTTATCATTTGTTATATGTACTTACATTTCTCGGCCTCCAAGAGCGCGTCTCTAAATGGTGCGCTATTCACAATCAATGTGCCACTTTTAAAATTTCTTACGCAAGCAACAATAGGCTCTGCCCAGTGAGCAAAATTGTCATCTGGACTTGCACTTTGCGATGATCGCAGGTCGTCGCTAGGTCTGCGATTATCTAAAAAAAATCATTTTTTTTAAATGGGGATGAAAATAATTAAACATGGAAAGTCTTATTTTATCAACAGTCTGTAATATGCATCTTGGCATATACGTGAATTTTTATCAGTCAATTAACTTTATGGTTAGGTAAACTATAAAGCTTTGATATTTTGTAAATGGTATATTTAAAAAAAAACTTTTAACTCTAGCAACTGACCGCATAGACTTTCGTCCTGTTTGTCTGTCCGCAATTATATCTCTTAATTTTAAAGGAATGTTTTGAGAAAAATGGAAACAAGGTATTTGATTCAGGTTTGTTCATATCTCCAACCGTAGAGAAAGGTTTTCATGCAATTTACAATTTTCCCCGCGTATGGAAAGGGTTCATTTTTACGCAGATCTCGTCAATGGATAAGAGTACAACCAATTACAATTTGACGCACAATATTATGGAAGGGGAAATTTCCGCCAAAAAATCTATGTATCTTGCTTTTATTCTTATTCTACCTACTTCTTTATGCTTTGTTATTATTGTAATTATATGTCACTTTATTGTTTTCATATTCGTCTTTATTACATTTCACTTTGACTTTTATCCTTCTTCATTTTGTCTTTACTTCTATGTTGCTTTATTCTTGTAAATTCATTTTACTTTCTTTTAAATTGATACAGTTTCTTCGATGATTATATCTATTACGAACGTTAACTCAATCACGCAAACAATGAAGCATATTCAATGAAGACGAATACAAGTTGTCCGAATTTAGTGCCGCATTATAACGCTAGGTGGCAGGGTTGTTCGCTAAGAGTGTTGGTAAAATTAGGTAAGCAACCCGGGCCGGGGTTATTCGAGTTTTTTTTTCAATTTTCTGCCGTAATACTTTATCAACCAAACTTAAATTGTTAAATGACTGATGTTTGTTATAAGTTCGGTATGACCCGAT